TCTCTCTCTCTCTCTCTCTCTCTCGTGTTTTTTAGTGTAGGTTTTTATAGTGTATTTCAGTGGCAATTCTCTCTTTGTGTGTCTATTAATATAATAATTTAGTTATAGTTAGTCTCATAAACATAAGCACAATAACACTGCGGACCCACTAATTGTATTATCAGTTTTATTGTTATTATTTTACGCCATTATATTGTTTTATCAAATCGTGATTTTTGTTTCCAGTGGGAGTCGAGTGATAAAAATTGAAATTTTTATGATTATTATTACATAATTGTATCTAAAATATGCTTTTTATAGTCGTATAAGAGATTGTATTTCAAAACATAGCGATAACTCTTTGAGTAAATTAAGAAATTAGTAGACAATTGGTTGACAGACCTCCGAGAAGACCGGCTTTTATTATAACATATATTAAAATATGTGAAAAATTTTGTATAATGTAAAAAATCCATTGTCTGTGACTAACAGGAGTTATTCATTCAAAATTTCATAATTAGTTTAACTATTTTTTTAGGTTTATTTGTTTTCTACTGAGAAATCCTATTATATTTTATTCATTGCGGAGACACTCGAGATATAAGTTATGACGAAATAAATTAATTTACTAACAATTTGTTTGTGTTTTGTTTGCCAGCAAAAACATACACCTCTTTATAGTAATATAGCTAATTATGTTTGAGTTTTGAATGAAATTTCTCACATGTTTGATATCTGTAATGCATTTTTTGTGTCGAGTTTGTTGTCTGGGAAGAGAGTGAGAGAAAAATTAATTTTTTTATTATCAAAAATCACAACAAAAAAGTGATTATACATTGCTATCAGGTATACAATATATTTTTACCGGTGATATAATCATTGTTTATCAAACAATGATATACAGAATATCATTATTATAGAGTATATCAAAAGTAATATAAGTATATTCTTGTGTCCCATCTTTTATATACAGTATATTGTATTTAATGTTTAATAATTCAGTTATAAAAATATCAAATCCACGCTATTAAAATTTATATACGAACATTTATTTTCCCACAATTTTTGCTGAGAGAGAGAGAGAGAGAGAGAGAGAGAGAGAGACGTGAAGTTAATTTTATCATTTCGTTTCTTTGACCGCCAATTCTTGCACTTATTTTTAACATAAAAACGACCAAAAAGTTTCTACTTTTCCGAGTATTTTGTTTCCATTATTATTATTGTTATTATATTTTTAGTTTCATATTTAACTTTAATAATCAATTAAGTATTGACTGCTTTTGATGTACGACTGTTTCAAAAAATATTTATACTTTTGTGTTTAAAAATACATGATTTGCAATAAAATTGTTATTTAATTAAATAAAACCAACAGTGAATTGTAAGGACATGTTTAGTTCAGACATCAATTAGTTTAACATTAGTTTGGAAGTTAATATTTATTTTAATATTAGAGTTTTATTTAAATAATTTTATCAATACTTTATATAATTTTGTAATCATGTTAAAAATAACTTATAATAATATCTATCAACAAAATTCAATGCCCTTCATGTGAAGTAAAATGTATTTAAAATTCAATTTTCACGCATTTTCGTAACTTTTCAACAAAATTCTTAAATGTCATTTCAGCAAACTTTTTTGTTAGCTCTCTCTCTCTCTCTCTCTCTCTCTCTCTCTCTTCTGTCTGTCTATAACTTTGCGATAGTGCTCTGCCATCAGACCCTTATTACATAGATTAGTTCATAAATAAGATCTCTCTCTCTCTCTCTCTCTCTCTCTCTCTAAACGAGAGTTAGAAATAAAATGCATGTCTTTATAACTACAAAATAATTTCATAATACATAACAACCGTATAATTAAAATGCATTTTTTTTGTCAAAATGAATAATAAGACGTGTGTAGGAATCAAATCGACAACAATTTCATAGTCAGTCCCAAACGACAAGAATTTCAACAGATTTTATGTTTTTTATTGCTTTTAAAATCCATAACCGACAAGTGCCTAATCTGTGGTTCAGTCACACAAAAATAGACATTCAGGGTCTCATTAATTAAAATATGACTGGATAGGTATGATGAGCAAGGTGTCTATATTAGTAACAAATTATTGGTCATAATGGATCTGAAGTGGGTGCAAACTGTGTCTGTGTTCAGATTTACTTCAATTATTTAACAAATTAACGTATTATGTTATGTGATATTAAACTATGTTAAATAAGAAGTCGATTGATCTTTCATATATGGCTGTCCGACTTCGGGTTCGGTTGCAGTGACCACTTTTATTGGAAAATTTAACTTATACAATACTAACATGTGATATATTAAATCAATGTAGATTTTAACGTAGAATTATAATATAGTAATGTCATCTTGATAGGTTGCATAGATTTTATGTAATTTTAATTTATTAGTTGTCATTTGAATTTATTAGTTAGTGTGAGATGAAATTAAGCTCGTGGTCGTAGTCTAGGATTGGTGGTGGTGTTTTGAAGTGCAAAGGGGGCAGAGTAATGGCTTATTTGAATAATTCTATTAAAAATTTAATAGTATCGAGAAATTAGCAGAAATTTATGCACCTAATCGAGATGATATTACAATATTCTAATTCTACATTAAATTATACATTAAATTATACATTGATTTCATATATTATAAGTTAGTATGGGATACATTAAATTTCCTGATAAAAGTGGTCACCTGAAGTCAGAGAGCCATATGTGGACGATTAATCGACTCCTTATTTAACATAGTTTCATATTACATAATAACATGTTGATTTGTTAATAATTAAAGTGAACATGAACACACACCCTTTTCATGTTCACTGCACCCACTTCAGAACTTTTATTTTCAAATTAACCACCTTGCTCATCTCTCTTTTTTGAGGGTACAGTTTCCACCCAATTCATGTACAATGTACAGTGAAATACATTTAATGGCCCGTCACTTAAAGGGTATGTAGCTGCTACATACATTGTAGCATTAGTCACTTGAATTACTCTCATCAAAACTTAATTATTATAAGTTTTAATTTTTATTAAATAGTTATTAAAATTACTTTTTAGCTAAAATAGTGTATTTAGACATAAATTAAAGAAATTAAACTTTTTATTCAATAAACAATAAATTATACATTTCTATCACATATTTCTTGACAAAGCGGAGCATCACTTAAATTCAATTTCTTTGATTGAATAACCATTTTATCGCAGAAAAGTTTCAAATATTTTAAATCAACCATAAGTTTAGTGTATTTCTCCATTGATAACAATTCCGATTGATATTTCATTTGTAGATATCGTTTAAGTAAATAAATATAAACATTGCGATTAAATCTGTAAATAAAATTACCATATAAAATAACAAAATAATAATACGTGGTTTAATTTAACTCACTTGATCATTGACTTATTGTTTAGTTTAGATCGATTCGGGTTAAAGAGGATAATCGCCGTTAACTAATTAATTGTAGAAAAAGTTTTAACTATTTCTTGTATTTATTTACATATTAATTATATGCATAATACTGACCAAATCAATAAGCATTGGATCTGATTCCCAGTCGACACCAATACTATTAAGATATTGTTGTTGATATGCATTGAGTGAATTGGTATTCATTGAATCAGTAATACTTAGAAACGGTAAGTGTTTTAATAAATCATGCGGTAATATATAAGAGCGATTGTCCTGAAAACAATGTAGTATAGTATCTTGTAATACAGTATAAATATTGTATATTGATTACATAGTTAGACAGCAATTCAAATAAGATGGTGATTTTAAACTTACCTTAATCACTATAGACCAATAATTATGTTCAAAATTATAACCCAAAACCATACGTAAGACCATTATCTCAGGCGCCGAGTATTTAAACAAAACCATTTGATCGCTTAAACTGAGATATTTAAAAGCATTCAATGCTTTACACACTTTAACCGTATCTTTGAATATGATTTCATTAATTTTTGTCTTCAATTCAGTCGCTTCTCTGATATCATTGATAATATAATTGTCTATATTTGAGGACTTATTCCCAGACATCATGTAATCAATATTCTTTAGCGCAGACAACAATTCAGTCAATCGATTGCCTTCTAATTCATTGAAAGTATTGCTGTAATCACTGATTGGTCTCATAATAGGTATCACTGATTGATTTAATTCATCCGGAGTCACGACAGGTATCACTGAATTCATTACTTCATTATCAAAATTATTAATTTGATTGCAATTTATATCAATCCCAATGTTGTCTAAAATTAAAATGTCTTTGTTTTGAGTACTCGATGGCAAAGAATCGATGGACAGGTCTAACAGTTGAGGCAAATTGACTACAGGTGTGCTCTCGGCTATAGACCTGTGTTTTCGTTTCCTATTCCCCGCTATAAAAGTGTTTCTTAACTGAATTTCTTCGTTTGAATAAAACAAACTCTGAAACAAGTTATCAATAAATTAATTGTTAAATATTTGTTTCAATTTTTATACAGTTTTCATTCCGACGTCAAAACACTTATCCAAACGGCATTTCTTGCAAAGCCCTCTCTTGTGAACATCGATCTGACATTTGCCCCCTAAATAACACCGAAACCTATCCTGAATAAAATGATTACAAATAATACATAAGTAAAACCAGTTTAAGGTATAATAATTACATTGTATTTAAAATTTATATTACATTTTTCAGTGAATTTCTCCTAAAGAATGATTTACACGATTCACAGCTAATAGCGTTGTAATGATTTCCTAATTGTCATTACAATTATTAATATAATAACAATTATTAGTATAATAGTTAAACATTTAATCATAAACATTATTATTTATTTACAACTTACCCGTAGCTTTACCATTACAAATGAGACAATTCATATCAATGTTGTCCATCATAAATTATTTAAGAATCTGATTCTATGAATTATTACAGGAATTTTATATTATTTAAAATTATTGCACCTACACAATTCTAAACGCAAATAAAATTTTAAATTGCCTACATGGTGACAACATTATTAAATTTAAATGACAACAGAATAAGTAGTTATTGCACAATGTGCTTTAATGTAGTGTGTCCTTGGTAATTTGTAATAATGATTACTACTTGTTATCAAAGCATCTAAGTTTAGATATAGTAGTTTTGCTAATATTAACGTTAAATTAAATATTTATATCAATGAAATGACAATTTATTAATTACTAAATAATACAATCACAATACTATTAGTTATTGGTCATAGATCTCGGTAAACATTGGCATTGATTTAAGGTTAATGTTTTATATTAAATGCCGTCTTATTATTAATTATAAAGTTTAGTTAAATATTTTATATTATATATTAATTTTAAATATTTATTTTTTGTTAGAAGTGTTAACCGATATTTCATTTGCAAATAACGTTTCAATAAATAGATGTAAATATTCTGTTGATATCTATAATTGCAATAAAATTATTAATAATTCTGATAAACAAAGTAATATTTATGTAATAAAATACAATGTAATGTTTAATAACATCTTTATAATAACTTTACTGATATTTAATTAATAATTAACAATTAGTAATTACAAACTTTATAGTAAAAATAGCTTAAAAATATAAAGTTTATATAAAATATAGCAATCAATTTACACATATTTTATATCATAAAGGATCATAAAATAACCAATCAATATTATATTTTAATTAACAACATACGTGATAAGTTATATCACTGATAACAAACAATAAAATCATTGATTAAATGTATTGTAATCTCTATTACATATTTCATGAAAAAGTGGACACGACTTCAAATCAACATATCGTGAATTGTTTGCTATTTTATCGCTAATTATGTTTAAATACTTTAAATTATTCAATAGTCGCGAGAGTTTCATATCAGACAGTGATTGCGATTTGCATCTCATTTGTAAATAGCGTTGCAATAAATAAATGTAAATATTTTGCTGTAATCTATCGGAATAAACAATATTAAAACTTTCAAATAGTTCTAGTTTAATTAATTAGTAATTAATAATTGCATACTTAATGGTATGTTTGTGGATCAAATGTGGTCGATGAGGGTTAAACAGTATGATCGCTGTCAACTAGAGTAGAGTAATTACATATAAAATAGATATTGTCTGATAATTAAATGCTAATTATAAGTGATTACTAAATCAATGATCAGCGGCTCTGAATCCCAGTCGAGTCCCATGTTTTCCAAAAACAACTTATGATAACAATAAGAACCGATATTAACCTTAGGATTAACGAGTCCTTCAAACAAACTCAATCTTATGAGATGTGATCTATTATTCTAAATAAATAAATTAAAAACTTAATTAATTAACACTGTTTAAACTAAACTAGTTATAAAACATGATCAGTTTACGACACAAACCTCGGTCACAATAAAATACTTGTCTTGAAAATTAAACCTCAATACCATTCGCATGATATCGATCTCAATGGACGAGTATTTGAGTAAAACTATTTGATCGTTTTGACAGATGCTGTTGAAGTCAGTCAAACGTCGGGACATTTTCACCACGTTTTGTATTTTGCTATCAATTTTGCCGATTATTATACTTAAGGCGTCGACACAGTTGCCAACAATTGAATAGTCGTTGAAATGGTCGGAACTTTGCAATACTTTTAATGCCTGAAACAATTCACTCAATTTATTGCCCTCTAATTCATTAAAAGTATTGCTATAATCAGTGATTGGTTTTATGATCGGCACGACTGAAGTCTCACTCATATTCATAGAGAGATTATTATTACCATTATTTTCAATAGGATTTTCAAATAATTTAAGATCGAGGCTAATATCACATTCAATACTATCGTTATTTAAATCAATTGTGGGTAAAGAGTCAGTTGAATCACTTGTTTGATCCAAAACTCCAACAAAATGTGAAACACTGTCTGTATTTTTTGAATAGTGATTATCTTTATCTATGATAATCTCGTCAGCATTTGGTGTGATATCTGTTTGCGAAGAATTGACTGATTTATTAAATAATGACTTTATCTCTGATTTAGTGCCCATATGTTTGACATCACATTTCTTTAGTTTCCTATTGTTTTCAATGATAGAAATTCTTTGCCTTTTTTGTTCATCCGAATAGAATTTGCTCTAAATTTTTAATTTATTTAAATATTAATATAATTGTTAAACAAATTTATCAAACATTACATACGGTTTTCATTCCGATTGAAAAGCATTTATTTAAACGACATTCTTTGCAGTAATTCCTGTTATCCATTGTTATAACGCAAGTGCCGGCCAAATGGCAGCTCAACTTTTTCTACCAATATTAATTATGATTAATTTAATACATTTAACTGAATTATAACTTAAATGCAGTTATAATTATAACTTACTTTATCTATAAGTGCGGTTCTTCTAAAGAATGATTTACAAGAATTACAACTCAAGCCATCGAAATGATAGCCTATTTGAGCATAAATTCATTAATTAAAATGTTATATTTTGTTGCAATTAAATAAATATTATTTGTATTGACTTACCGGTGGCCCTATCGCCACATATCAAGCAAAACATGTCGGGTTTGTCCGGCATTTCTCATACAATCAAATTAAAAATATTTCTCATACAATATATTTATATAAATAAATAAATGCTGTACGTGATCAATTGCATGGATGTTAAAATTGTGGTATCTGGTTTATATATAGCACTTTATCAATATTAATTGTACCAAACCTGTACTGTACTGTACATTTAGTTCAATACATTATTGGTGTTTAGATTACAGTATTGCTAAACACTATTAAAAATATAACAAGAATTGCTTGACAACATTTAGTGCAAATTTGTAACTGTATATATAATTAAGATTTGAATATGGTCAAATGATGTATTTTTATGAATTAGTGTTGAAATTTGGTGTAGATATCACTGTTTGTTATATTTAATAGTCTATTAAACCCTAAATTATTATCAAAAGTTACTAAAAACGCAGAAGTTAACAGTATTTTGCATTACAATGTAATGTTACATTATGCTTTTTAATACTGGTCGACCCTCTCTCTCTCTCTCTCTCTCTCTCTCTCTCTCTNTCTCTCTCTCTCTCTCTCTCTCTCTCTCTCTCTCTCTCTCTCTCTCTCTCTCTCTCTCTCTCTCTCTTTATGTTATATATTTCGGTCACAAATTTCTTTATAAAAGTGAGCATAACTTAAATCGATTTTATTTGAATAATTTGTATTAAACATCACTTTATCGCAGAAAAGTATTCAAATAATTCAAATCAACCAAAAATTTTATGTATTTCTCTTTTGCCAATAATTCCGATCGATATTTAATTCTTAGATAAAAATCATTACAATATAAAAACGAGTTCAAAATTTTACAATAATTGCAATTATAATTATAATGAAAAGGTTTGATAAAAACTTTAAAACCTGTTTAAAACAATACTTTATATTCTATTAATAAATTTGAAAACAAATGGATAGGAGTTTACTCAAAATGTAATTTATATTATAGGAAACATTTATAATTAAAATTAATAACAACATTAATTTTTATCAAATGAACACAACTTTTAAGTAGATTTAAAATTTATATTTTGTGTAAAACTTTTGTGACAATCCTTGAAATCACGAATAAATCCCTTATTTTAAATGAACAGAATTTTTGTGTCGATTTAAATGTGATTTTTGACTAAAACTTTTGTGACATTCATTAAAATGGCATTTAAATGGTTTTTCTCCCGAATGAACGCGTTTGTGTTGAATGAGATCTGATTTATGGCCAAAACCTTTGTCACAATTATTGAAATCACATTTAAATCTCTTATTGATATTATGGGTATTTTTGTGTGAAAATAAACGTTGTCTTGAATTAAAACTTTTGTGACAATCATTGAAATCACATTTAAATTGATTTTCTCCCAAATGATTGAGTTTGTGTTGAATGAGCTGTGATTTTTGGCCAAAATTTTTGCCACAATTTTCTTCATTACATTTAAATGGCTTTTCATTCAAATGAACACAACTTTTATGTAGAGTTAACTTTTCTTTTCTCGTAAAACCTTTTCCACAATTATTGAAATCACATTTAAATCTCTTATTGAAATGAACGCTATTTTTGTGTTGATTTAACTCTTGTTTCAGTTTATATGATTTGTTGCAATCATTGAAATCACATTTAAATTGTCTAACATTTGAATGACTTGATTGATGTCTATTGAAATCACTTTTACGAGTTGTCTTATATTTACAATCAGTCCAAAGACAGCGAAACTCTTTATTATTATTATCATTGGTTTCATTAATCGAAAGCAATGTTTCACTGATTTTCAATGTTTTGCAAACAATTGTTTGTTTGATAACTAAATTCACATCACTTTCGCATTCAATCGCTTCACACAAAGCACTGGTATTTGAATTCAAAACACATTTCATTTTGTCTATCGATTCGCACAAAATCTTCATTGATTTCAATTTACTTATCATTTCATTCAAATCCATGTCTTCGTCGACCAATTGATCCAACGCTTGGCTGTCGTTGTCTTCGGTGGTCATCAACTCGTCGTTACCGTTCATATCGATTGTGTCCAACACTTGGTTCACACCATTGGAGTCATCACTGGATTCACTACTCATCTCAGTATTCAATCTCCGAAACTGTGCCTCAAATCCAATCAATTAATTAAAACTTTTATAAAATAAATGAAAAACACTTTACAATTAAATACATGCGACACAAGAGTCCAAGTTTTGCCTCAATTTATAGCAACAATGTTTGAAAGCATTGTATTTCACACAAAATGTGTTGTGAATTACAGTTTACTTACAATAACTTTTGTCTGTTTTTTTAGTAACTAAATGATTATGTGTTGTTATTATTAATTCTATTATGATGTTGGTATAAAATTATTTAAATAATCTAAATACACTTGTCAATTTTAACACTTATTGTATTGAACTAGTTTAATTTAAATGAAATTAAATTATAATGAGTTAACTAATACAATGTAGTTAAGTTTAAATGATAAACACTTTTATATTGAGAGTACATTTACCTTAACTTATTGCCAGCAGTTATTTGTTATGAACCTAGAAATATAATACTTAAAAAAATACAAAATTTACAAATTATTTACTTATTTATTTAGATTTTAGAGACATTACATGTTTTATATTAAACATTTTGATCACATATTTCTTTATAAAACGGAGCGTAACTTAAATCCGATTCATTTGAATGAGTGATCATTTTATTGCATAAAAGTGTTAAACATTTCAAATCAAACAAAAGTCTCGTATATTTCTCTATTGATAACAATTCCGATCGATATTTAATTATTAGATAAAAATGATTACAAAATAAAAAAGGAGTTTAAAATTTTACAATAATTGCAGTTTTATTTATAAAGAATTCTTTTATAATTTGATACAAACTTTAAAACCTGTTTAAAACAATACTTTATATTCTATTAATAAATTTGAAAACAAATGGATAGGAATTTAATCAAAATGTAATTAATATTTTAAGAAATATTTATAATTAAAATTAATAACAATTTACATTTAATTTTTATCAAATAACACAACTCTTGCTTAAATGTATCATTTATTTTGTGTAAAACTTTTGTACCAATCATTGAAATGACGAACAAATCTCTTATTTTAAATGAACAGAATTTTTATGTTGAAATAAGTTTGCTTTTTGTGCAAAACGTTTGTTGCAATTCGTAAAATCACAAATAAATGGCTTTTCTCCCGTATGAATGCGTTTGTGTTGAATTAGACTTTGTTTTGCAACAAATATTTTGCCACAATTTTCTTCATTACATTTGAATCTCATTTCATTTAAATGAACATAACTTTTGTGTTGAAATAAACGTGATTTTTGATTAAAACTTTTGTGACAATCATTGAAATCGCATTTAAATGGTTTTTCTCCCAAATGTATGCGTTTGTGTGTATCTAAAATTGATTTGCGTCCAAAACTTTTGCCACAATTTTCTTCTTCACATTTAAATGGCTTTTCATTCAAATGAACACAACTTTTGTGTTTAATTAGACTGTGTTTTGCAGTAAAACTTTTGCCACAATTATTGAAATCACATTTAAATCTCTTATTAAAATGAATGCTTTTTTTGTGTTTAATTAAACTCGGCTCTGATTTAAAACTTTTGTGACAATCATTTAAATCACATTTAAATTGTCTGACATTTGAATGAATTGATTGATGTCTATTGAAATCAATTTTACGATTTGTCTTATATTTACAATCAGTCCAAACACAGCAAAACTTTTTATTGTTATTATTATTATTGCTTTTATTAATCAAAAGCAATGTTTCACTGATTTTCAATGTTTTGCAAACAATTGTTTGATTTGTAACTAAATTCAGATCACTTTCGCATTCAATCGCTTCACACAAAACACTGTTATTTGAATTCAAAACACATTTCATTTTGTCTATCGATTCGCACAAAATCTTCATTGATTTCAATTGACTTATCATTTCATTCAAATCCATGTCTTCGTCCACCAATTGATCCAACGTTTGGCTCTCGTTGTCTTCGGTGGCCATCAACTCGTCGTTACCGTTCATATCGATTGTGTCCAACACTTTGTTCACACCATTGGAGTCATCACTGGATTCACTACTCATCTCAGTATTCAATCGTCGAAACTGTGCCTCAAATCCAATCAATTAATTAAAACTTTTATAAAAATAAGTGAAAAACACTTTACAATTAAACATGAAATATAAGTAGAGATGTTAGTGGTGAAAGTTTGGGAACGTTTAGGGCTAAATTTAGCCCTAAATTTAGGGAACGTTTAGGGGTCTCGATGAACATTTAGGCTAAATCTTCAACCACTCTATATTAGCGACATCTANGAACGTTTAGGGGTCTCGATGAACATTTAGGCTAAATCTTCAACCACTCTATATTAGCGACATCTATATTACACATATTTACTAAATAAATCACTAATTTGTGTAATTTAAACTAAATTAACAACTATTATTAAAATGTAATTTATATAAATACTAAATAGAATACTTAATGTGCCGTAAATTCACTATTATTTTGTAGTATAGAATATTAAAATTCATACTTTACGTAAAATATTCACAGAATATATAACAGAATTTGCAAGAATCTTTACTAAATTTGAAATATTTAAAGAACCAAAATAATTTTCGTTATTATTTTAAATGAAAAATGTTTTAATTAGTTTGATGTTTATATATTTCACCACATTAAAAGTATCTAGTTTAAAAATATATGAAGATTTCACATTTTAATGAAAATTTAGCCCAAAATTGCAATATTTAGCCTAAATGAAATGTTCATATGAAAATTTCAGTGAAATTTTCATCCCTACTCGTATGACGTTTACTCTCAAGGCATTCAATTCCCATATCAAGGCTAACCCAAGTGTTTAACAGTTTTGCCCATAACTCAAACTCACAAACTTTCTAATCATTCGTTTTTTCAAAAACATTTAGTAAACATTTTTTGTTGCTTTTAATTGTATAATTAATTTCGATTCATCATTATATAAAAGTATTGTACATATGTTTTTAGTGATAAAATATGTTTTCTGCAGTACAATAACCGTTAATATTCTGTTAATACTTTTGTTTTAGATAATTAATACAATTCATATAATTTTGATAATCATTGTCATCTTAATCATTTTCAAATGATTTTTATTTTATTCATTAATAGTATTTAAACATTTTAAAAGATTAAAAGGATTGGCATATGGTTTGTATATGTATTATCACTGATAATTTATCACCGAAGTTATTGGGCTAAATGATAATGTATTATATTAGCCCAGTTGCCGTGCAGCTAGAATCTTGGAATTGGTCTCATTATTTAGGCCCACATTCTTAGGCACCAGAATCCGAGTTTCATTAAAATCGTATACT